TATATATATATATATATATATATATATATATATATATATATATATATATAAAATATAGTTCTCAAGCAGAGTTTAAAAATATATTTTAAGCCATTTGTCCTGCCTAAAACATCAAATAAAGTACAGAACAACCAAGGGTTTGAACACTTAACTGTTCTAAGTATCAAATTGAGATTTATCATGATCATGAAAATTATTCTTAAAATCAGTTCTAATGATTATATTGACAATTTTCTTCTCTCCTTTAATGGTTTGCAAATTTCAATAATTGGTAATAAGTTCTTATCCACAGTGTAACTATATTTGATTTAGTAAACACATGATTCAAACCTTATATGTTTAAAATAAATTATAAAAAAAAACTGTACACATTTCTGCACATAAATTTATTTCCTTAAATTATCATAAATACATTATTTGAATGATAGAGGTAGCAGAAGTCAAATATTTCCTATTGCCTCTTTCCCACTGAAAATGGTCTGTTAAACTGGGTTTTTCAAACATGAGTCGACCTGCTAACAATCTGCATTTGTCTCCCTTCGCACTGGCAAAAAAAAAAAACCATGTCTAACTCCTTGCTGGCATGCTGTGTGGCCTCTGTCCTCCCACTGCTGCGTGTCTGCTGACACCATCACGCTGGATTGGCATTCATGATGTCACCAGTGTTACAGAAATCAGGAGAGTAAACAATTGAGGGCAACATTTAAGGAAGCCGGGGCGTAATAATAGTGCTTCAATGTTTCGCTCTAATATCTATCCGAATCCTTCCCGCCAGTGCTGCTACATGTAAATAGAATGTAAACAGAGTTGTTTCAGCTTGTTAGATCTGAAGCAACTGGTGTTGTGTGTTGACGTCCGTACGTTGCAATCAATGGTGTCACACAATTTAGCAGGTTAATCCGGGTCTAGTGTTCCCACTGCATGCCGATCAGAGCCAAGGAAATTGTTTACAGTGTACTGTGTACAGCCCAAAAAAGAATTTAAATAACAATGCTTTTGAAATAAAATATTTATTTAGTTATCATGCATTAGTATAAATGAAAATGCAAACATTTCATAATTAAGTATTTTTTATTTATTTATTTTTTACATCTGTCACATTGTGTTAAAACATAATGGAAATAAAAAAAAAAATCACTAAATCAATATTTGGATTTTTATTTAAGTAAATAATCATTTTCTCACTTTATGCCTTGTAATACAGATACAACTGTGTGGAATTAATACTTCTTTACCCAATAGAATATTTAATCACTGCATTATATTAGAATTCTATGCATGTCTTTAGGCAGACCCAACAATGTCATTCTTATTTGTTTTCATCTTAAGATTTGATTTGTTATTTTTATTTCATGTTTTGTTAAAGGTCCATGGAAATGCCGTTTGATTAAAGAAAAATAATTATAAGTGAAAAAACACTTCTGGGCATTATTAGAATGACAGGGGCATTTTGATGAACATGTCATTATAAACAATAAGCTGCACATACAGAAATTGTAAAATAACAAATCTGCATAACTATTATGTGTTTTAGGTCAAAATTAATGTCACAATCCTTTAATAGTAAATTAAATATATTCCCACATGTTTTGACCCTTCAAATTCTCTCTAAAAAATCTGTAAATGAAAAGTTTAGCTGTAGTAAGAGCAAGCCACACTAATAACATAATGCAGTTAGTTTTTTGCTTTAAATGCTTACTTTTTTTAAGGCAAGCTTTCATCTCTCTCAGACATGACATACCTTAAAGATAATACAGTAGACGTCAAAATGAAACTTGTTCTATGTGATGTTTCAGATAAAATGGCAGATATATAAATTAGATTAAAAAAATAAACTAAATGGATTTAAATGTTTTATGTTAAATAGGTTATAGAATAAATACATGTTTGTTTTTTCTGTTAACAACAGGATATCTCCAGTTAATTGCATAGTAAATTGATTTATTAATTATTTTCCTAATAATTTTCAGGCATTTAAAACTTCTCATTTATGTATCTTTTCTGTCAAGTTTGCTAATCTGTATGATGGAGCTATAGACTGCTACGTAGGTCTATAATTGATATTCAGTTATATCTGTAGATATAGCTAATTTTTTTTAAGCATTTGCTATAAAATAATAATAATATTGATGATGCATAACTAATTACAGGTACATAAATAATCTATTTTCCACAGTTTAATTGAAATGAACAAATCTATAAATACATATTAAACAATTTATTAATATATTCCATTGCTGCACATTTGGCCCTTTATATCGTTTCAGCTAACGTTTCTTCTTTTTGACCTGTAGGTGGCAGCACTTCCTTTTTTGGAACAAATTGGAAGTCTGACAACTTCCGACTTCCGCTTTCCGTTGAGCAAGTCAAAGCTGCTGCAATGGCAAAGCTAATTTTGCTGTTGCTGGAATTGTGTATTATATTTTGTGTTGTCCATGCTGTATTTGAGGACCAAGTGGGAAAATTTGACTGGTAAGAAAAGCTCACTAAACTATAAAAAATAACGTTTTTTCTAAGGTAATATCTTTTACAATTTGAAGATGCTAATGCTAACACCTGTCAAGGCGTTAGCTTCGACTCGGTGTGTTTTAGTGAGCACTTTCACGAGAGGACATCTTTAAAAAAGCAATGAATAATCATCGAATATATATGTTTTTTTTTACCCTGTCAGAAACACGAATAGCATTTAAATTAAATTAATTGGCTATTTAAACATGGTTATGTAAGAAAAATCGGCTTATTTGTAAGTATAGATGAATTCTTACATACAAATGATTAATGTCATTAATCTTAATAACACTGGCTGTTTTTCTTTTGCGATAATCATATTAGTTGTGGCAGTTATTTAAAAAAATAATCATTTTTTGCTTTACAGGAGGCAGCAATATGTAGGCAAAGTTCGCTTTTCTCATTTCGACACACAAATGCAGTCGTCCAAAAAGGTCCTTGTAGCAACAGAGAGTAATGTTTTTGCAGCGCTAAATTCCAGGACAGGAGAGCTTTGTAAGTATTTCTATTTCACTTGTTAGCTGTCATATGGTCTGATCTTTCTGTTCCTACTCACAATACACTGTCCCGTCCATGTCTAATTCAGTTTGGAGACATGTGGACAAAACTGGTCCAGAGGGAAACATTGACGCTCTTCTGCATCATGCACAAGGTGTTGTCATCTTATTAACATTCAGTTTTGCTCTTTGCATACAAGTGTAATCATTGATCATAAAATTGGTTTTCTACCATTAGATGCAATACTGGTGGTTGGAAATGGACGTGTGTTGCGCTCCTGGGACGTTAACATTGGTGGTTTGAATTGGGAAGTTTTGCTGGACTCTGGCAGGCGAGTACCAGCTTGGTTTTTAACCATTTTTTTAAGTCCAAGATTGTTCATGTGGATTCAATCTCAAATTCTTTTATTATTGTTTTTTGTTTTTGTTGTTTTTAGTTTTCGATCAGCCTCTTTAGTCGGACAACAAGGCACAGTCAAACATGTAGCTGTTCTAAAGAAAGCTTTCATCTCTGTTCATTATTTGTCCAATGGGCATCAAAAATGGATAGAGAACCTACCAGACAGGTATTTATTTATCTTATTTTGTTTTGTTGTTTTATGCATAAGGCAGAGATGGGGAAGTTGAGACAGCAGGTAAGTCCAATCTGCACAATTTAATTCACTGTGCAGATTGGACTCTCCTTCTTCAGTGGCTGGGTAGAACAAATACATTACATAGATGCGACCTGTTGACTCCACTTCCCTCGTCTCTGGCATTATGAATATAATACTTATTAACCCTATATTATGTTTTCATCCTTACAGTGAAACTGTGGATTATCAAACTGTTTATTCGGGTGGAAATGGTCATGTCCTTGTGTTGGGAGTTGTTCCCCATTCCCATATTACTATTGTAGTTTACAGCATGGAGGATGGAGAAATAATCAAGCAGGTATTCCCTAACGTATTCAAATTTACATCAAGTAAAGAAACCATAGAAGGAAAAACATTAAAATGTTATATAAACCAATTTATATTTTATTCCTTTCTTTGGTTGCTGATTTTTCCAGGTCTCAGTTGAAGCTCCATGGTTGTCCAACATCCCAGCCAGCTGTGTAGTGGTTGGTCAGGGGATTTTGATGTGTGCAGACTCAACAACAATGTCCCTAAACACACTTGATTTACACCAGCAAACACAGATGACACAGATCCCGCTGCAGGTATCAAGCAAACCAAAACAAAACCTTACACTTCCATGAAATAACTCTACATATTTGTCTTATCTGGATCAGTTCTTTAGAGGCATTGTTGTTTAAAATGTTTTCTTTTTTTTCCCCCTTAACTTATTACAGTCACTGGGGCTTGAAGCGGACCCTGACTTCCATCCCTCTTTAATGTCACACCAGCCCAATGCTGCCCAGAAGCCTCTATCGGAGTTCTTCCTTCAGCTTGGGCCTGAACGCTATTTACTTCTGCAGTTGAACAATGGGCAGATAGTGACATTAAGAGACTTCAACCCAGTATGTATCCTCCCTTCAACTGATAATAATGTGAAGGACTTTGCTTACTTTGTTTGGGAAGTGGGCGGGTGGGGGGCTCTTTAATAGGAGATTATGTACCTTTGAAACTTGAAATTGTGCAAAGCTCCATTCTGCAGTGTTATAATTCCTTTGGGGAGAAAAAAATGTAAGCAGATATATATTGTATTCTTTTAGTTCAATTCGCAAACGGAAGGAAACCAGTGAAGCTACTCTGGTTGGAAGTAAAACAAAAAAGAAAAAAGTGTAATTTATCTGCTTGTTTATCTGGATGATTTTAGAGCCGTTTTCTCAACCATAAGATAAATGATTAAAATCAGCAACTTGTGAGTAAAATGTCATGACTTATCTCTCTTTATTTCTAGGCCTTGCTGGCTTCATTTGCAACAACTGGAGAGAAGACTGTAGCTGCTGTTATGTCACCCAAAAATAAAACTGTAAGTAAATCACAGATCTCGCTCTTATTCCTGGATGTATGGTGTACAATTTAATTAATTCCAGTGATTGATATTGGGTGTGGGTTAAATTGTCATTGTTAAGGGCCTTAAGATAACAGGTTTTGTGAACTGGTGCTATAGACATAAACTGAATCATTGAATTAATTTATTGAATATAGTCAGCTTCTTTGTGTAAGCAATGAGACCCGTATCATTTGTTTTTCTTCAAATAAATAATGAAATATAATTAATCATTATCACCCCCCAGGCCTGCAGTATTAACCTCTTTAGTGCTGACACGGGGCGTAGACTTCTTGACACAACGCTGATTTTCACTGTGGATCCTAATGGAGGGAAACCAGAGAAGGTGAATAGACTTTTATTCTAAAGATTGGTATGTGTATTTAAACATAAATGTATTAAAATTATCTTACTATTTTTCAATCTTTAAGTTATCATGTTTTTGTATGTAAAGCAGCATTTAGAGATAAACATGTCTCAGGTCAATATACTGCTCTTACTGTGTAGCGAGGCCCTTTGCGGGCTGCCCTTTTAAGAAAAAAAAAAAAAAATTCTCTCCAGTGTTACATGAGAGCGTGCAACCTGTTGCTGGGTCGTGTGAGCACCGCTTTACGGCCTCTAAGCTTACCTTAAAAGTTGTAAGGCAAAAAAATTCACCTTTACTTTATCAGAGATATTTATACTCTTCGATTTAGTATTTCCTTTAGAGAGTAAAATGCAGCTTTTGTGTTTAAAAGTAACTCAATGACCTCAATATTCTGGTCCTAAGTGGTCTGCTTTCTGCTGTATATCCTCACAAACTTTCCTATTTGGCGTTAAGAAGCCAAAAGTAATCCCACAATCCTTTGCTTGACAAGACATATTGACCCAGACCATCTTATGGAAACAAATACATTAGTGTTTACTGTGTGTGACGTGGGGTTTATAATGGAGAGCTTCAGCTGTATATAGTTACAGAATTTGTTTTTTGTTGTTCTTTTTCGGGAGGCTATAGTATGAAGATAACTTTAAATCAAAACTGTTTGTCTTATAATTTGTTTTGCACCATTTTTTTAGATCAACTGGAGCAAAACTGAAAGGAAGACATTTTTGATGTGCAACTCGCAGAACACAATTTGTGTACTTGTACTTTAGAACTTGAACAGGTGTAAATTTCTTTGAAATTGTGAAAGATGGAAAAAATTGTACAGTTACAAAGCTCCAAAGTTACAATGCACAAAGTTTTGCAACATAAGTTCTGGACCATTTTGAGAAAAACTGAGAATGTAAGAGGTTTCTGATGTGCAACTTGTAAATCACAATTAATATACTTGTACTTAAAATTTGAACAGGTGTTAAAAAAAATAAAACAAATTGTACTTCTGATTTTTTTTTTTTTTTTATTCTACAATTATAAACTCATAATAAAACTCTCTCTTCAACTTTAAATTTACACTTACAATGCACAAATACTTTTTATTCAAAATGACCTTTATACTATAGTCCTAATTTGACAAGCCATGTGTGTTTCAATTATGTAATTCAGACTTTCTTACAGTCCACCGTAGTGTTTTTAGCATTAAGCCAACGTAAGTTGAAGGAACAGAAGTTAGGGCTCTTGTGCCTCTACAGACTTAAAGTTACACAGTGCTGCTTTGAGGAGTTTTATATGCTGGTATTGATTTAGCTTTTGTCTCACAGCTACATGTCCAAGCGTTCCTGAAGAAAGATGACTCTGTTGGCTACAGGGTCATGGTGCAGACGGAGGACCAGACACTGACTTTCATACAACAACCAGGTATTGTAAAGGAAGGAAAAGCAGGTTCTAACAGTCCCCACTCTTTGCTTTTTTTTAGTCCTGCTTTTAACTGGTTTTGACTGTTCTGCATAGCTCATAGAAACTTCGTCTCTAAATGTAGATGAAGGCATCAGTTTAAAATGAGGATGTTACAGCTCAATGGGGACTTTATTTACCTTTGAAGAAGGCTGTAAAGATGTCGTCATGATGCAGCCTGAATGCTTCATCACCAATAAGCAATGTTCCGTTCTGACATTTCCAACCCTATTCCAGGTTGTACGATGTGAAGTGTGAATCAGGACACTATGTTTGCTTGTTGATCTCATGGTGGAACCGGAATGCATCTGGAAAATTTAACAAAAAGAACTCAGCAGCCTCCTTTATGTTCAAAGCTTTTGATCAGGAAGCAGTCAGCTAATGATGGTTGATCTGACATCACATGTCTGTTTTATTGAGGGGAAGTTCCCATAACTCTATATGCATTTGTTTGTACAGCATGGAAAAAACAGGAGTAATCTACAAGCACACAGGAGGAATATCCTGGTATTGGACTAAAAAGCTCAATCCTGTGATGTTAAATGTTGATCTGAACAAATTAGATTGTTTATAAATTGTGCGGAGCTTGAATACAGATGCCCTCCTATAAAGAATGTCAGGGTCCCATACTGTACTGAACATTTCTGTCTCCTCCCACTGCTGTTCTCGTTTAGTTCCCAGGAGAATATGAGTCATGAATAAACCTAGGGTTCATAGTGGCTGAATTACATTTTAGCTCCAAAGTGTTTTTGTTTTCTATCAGTAAGATATTTTTTAATATTTTGTCTTTTTGTCATATTTTAGTGAGGGGGAAAAAAAAAACTAGGTGTGGTTTTAAAGGTAGGTTTTAAAGGTTTTTGAAGAACCTTATTCCTCTATAAGGGCTGTATTTGAGAATTATTCAAAACATGATCTCTAGAATACCATTTATCTACTGAGCCATTCCTTGCCCCATGATTATATCAAAGTAAAGGTCACACTTTTTAAACATGGTGGATAACAAGAGACTCCCAGATTTTCCTGCATGCAAAATAGTTCTGTCCTTTTCCACAAGCCTTAAGGGAAAACATGCCATGTTGCTGTGAGTGGAAAGCTCTGAACCCTGTAGGCCTCCACAGGCTGTGGAAGGTAGAATGAGTGATAACATAAATAATGAGACCTGTTTTCCAGGGCGTGTCATGTGGACAAGAGAAGAGGCCTTGTCAGATGTGGTGACAATGGAAATGGTGGATCTTCCCCTCACTGGGACACAAGCTGAGCTGGAGGGCGAGTTCGGCAAAAAGGCCGGTAAATGATTAAATTTTTATTCCCTAATTTACATTTAACCACCAGCAAAGTGGTTTATATTTTCTCTTCACTAAACGCTCCCAACAAGCAGCTCACATGTGATTCACCTGCTTGAATTATTATCTTTACATCTGTTTTGTTCTGTTTTTATTGCTGCGTTTGGATTCAGCCATTCAAGGTAACACGTTTCTTTCTGCAGTTATTCTTCACCATCTCTAAAACACATTTGAGGCACATATTGCATTAAAAACTAAATGAACATTGCTAGTGATCAAGTCATCATCAGCTATCATTATAGCTAATTCGGGATCTGTTTTTTTTTTTACAAAGATTCGACATAAGTATAGCAACTATTAGAAATAAATAAAACCGTTTTGCTGTGAAGATGGATACTTTTAATGCAACCTGAAGGCTTTAACGTTTGCCATGTTTACTGATCTGAACCCAGAGTCTAGCTAAGAATTGTTAGATTCCGACAGTCGCTGATCTCTAAGTACATCTCTGTCTTGATTCTTAATTTTTTTTTTTTTTTTTTTTTTTTTTTTTTTTTTTTTTTTTTTTTTTTTTTTTTTTTTTTATATTCAGCTGAAAAATGTGAAAGTGGGTGATGGCATTTGAAGTACCAGTTCACAGGATATGTTTGATCTTGTTTAGATGGGTTGTTTTCTATGGTGTTGAAGAGGCTGTCCTCTCAGCTCATCATGCTGCAAGCCTGGATAGCTCACCTATGGAAGCTTTTCTACGACGCTCGGAAACCCCGCAGTCAAGTCAAGAACGACATCTCCATCGACAACCTGTCCAGAGATGAGTTCAACTTGCAGAAGATGATGGTTATGGTTACATCCTCTGGAAAGGTAAAAGCTGAAAGCTTATCCTTAGATCTTAATGTAAAGAGCTCCATAGTTGCTGATGTTCAGCTAGGTTTGATGTAGTTTAAGTTGAGGCAGGTTTACATTCAACATATTGTTGATTCCTGCTTTTCTTTTCCCGCTAAGCTGTTTGGAATAGACAGCAAGACGGGGGCCATTTTGTGGAAGCACTACCTTGATAACATCCCATCAAATGCTGCCTTTAAACTGATGGTTCAGCGGACCACTGCACACTTCCCCCACCCCCCGCAGTGCACCTTGCTCATCAAAGACAAGGTATCTAATGAAAAACTGGGGCCAGTGTTCAAACTCAGTATTTTTTTATTACATTCAATATCCACATTAAACTGTATTGCTTGGAGTCTCTTATACCTCTGTTATAGAGGATTTAGTTTATTAACAGAAATTTTATATATATCTTTTTTTTTTTTTTTTGGTGGGTTACAGGACACAGGCCTGGCTACTCTTCATGTGTTTAACCCCATCTTTGGAAGGAGGAGTCAGGTCACACCACCTGCCCTACCTCAGCCAATACTTCAGTCTCTCATGCTCCCACTTATGGACCAGGATTACGCTAAGGTCCTGCTTCTCGTTGATGACCAGTACAAGGTCAGCTGCAAGTATTCATACCAGATCAACTCCTCTTGTTGTCATTTACTTGTTCTGCTTAGAATCCCATGAAATGGTTGTATCCTTAGTTTAGAGCTGTGATATTTTCATCTATTTATAATTTATTTTCTTGCAGGTTTCTGCCTTTCCTTCAACCAAGAATGTCCTGCAGCAGCTTCAGGAAACGGCTTCATCCATATTCTTTTTCCTTGTCGACTCCAGTCAGGGAAGACTCTCTGGTTACAGACTGAGAACGGTAAACTTCATCAATTATCTGCTCTCTTCTTGTTCCTGCAGTGAGCTGCAAGATAAAAAAAAAAGCTCTAATAATGAAAAAGAGTTAACCTTGATGATGTTTATGCTTTCAGGACTTGTCAACTGAGCAGGTCTGGGAGGTTGTCATTCCAACAGAAGTACAGAAGATTGTCTTTGTTAAAGGGAAAAGGCCCAATGAGCATGTGCACTCACAGGGCCGAGTAATGGGAGACCGCAGCGTGCTGTATAAGGTACAATAACAACCTCTACAGCCTTTATTCATATTTGAAAAATGGTTAAAAGCACAATCTTATTTTTGTCATTGGTTATCTAGTGATCTATAATCATCTAACTATGTTTTCCCTTTCTGATATGCAATTTAAAGTATTTAAATTCCATGCTCTTATCTATCTTCCTCTTTAACAGTACCTGAACCCAAACCTGCTGGCAGTGGTGACAGAAAGCACAGACATGCATCAGGAGCGCAGCTTCATTGGGATCCTGCTCATCGATGGTGTGACTGGCCGCATCATCCATGAAGCCGTCCAGAGAAAAGCCAGAGGACCGGTGCATGTTGTTCACTCTGAAAACTGGGTTGTGGTGAGCAAGTCTAGATTTCTCAGTCACAAATGTCACCAGTTTTAAGGATGGGTTCTCTGTGTTTTTAATTTAACATGGAGAATACCTTCAGGGAGAGATTATACCTCTTGTTCTTGTCCAACTGCACAGTATGAATACTGGAGCACAAAGTCTCGCAGGAAGGAGTTCTCTGTAATTGAACTTTACGAAGGAATGGAGCTCTACAACAGCACCGTCTTCAGCTCGTTGGATCGGCCACACGCCCCTCAGGTGCTTCAGCAGTCCTACATTTTCCCCTCCTCCATCTCCACCATGGAGGCCACCCTGACTGAGAAAGGCATCACCAGTCGCCACATTCTCAGTAGGTCCATTGGTTATTCTTTGCTGTCCTCCAATTATAGTCTGTGTGAGTAAACCGCAATGTTTCTAGCTACTTTAATTTTTTTTTTCTTTTGATTTGTAACAGTTGGTCTGCCATCTGGGGGGATTCTTTCATTACCAAAAATGTTCCTCGACCCACGCAGGCCAGAGATAATAACTGAGCAGAGCCGGTAGGTCCAGTCAGAAGCGGTCTGACACTGAGCTGAACTGCAGTGCTTCCCAAATACAGGGGTTTGCCACATTAAAACCATGCAGTTTCATTTATTTTGTTGTAATTGTATGCACTGTAGTGTACGGTGAAGATGTGGGAGGAAGAATATATGCATGTTCTGAAAACCTTTCTGAATAAACCCTGAGGGGGAGGATGAATACAATTTAATGTCTAAAAAGCTGTGAAACAATGTCTGATTAGCCTTAAACATCACAATTATGCTCAGCTACATGTTAAAAAAATGTGAAACTCTAAATCTGACATGCAGATTTTATTTACAGGGAAGAAAACCTTATCCCATACGCACCAGAGCTGATCATCCGTACAGAGTGGTTCATCAACTACAATCAGAGCGTATCGAGAGTGCGAGGTATTTACACGGCGCCATCCGGACTGGAGTCTACCTGCTTGGTGAGCCTTGCTTTACAAAAAACAACTTTAGATAGAAATTAAAACAGCTGGTTGGGTTTTCCCCCAAAAAATTCTCATTATTCAATAATACAAGGCCATCTTTGGTATGTTAATATGATGTAATTTAGAGAAAAGTGTCTTTTAAAATAGATAGTATAAACATATTCTTAAAAGATTTTTTTTTTTCAGATGATTTTTTTTTTTCTGTGAGAGTTATGGTGGCTTTTTGCCAATAGGCTGGACTGTACCAAAATCCTGCAAAAGTGGAAAAGTAACGGTTATCTGTTCGTTATTTTTCTGTGTCAACATTGCTTTAAAAAAGACATTTTATACTTTTGAAAATCCTGTCTATTTTCTTCTAAATTATGTCTAATATGTAAGGAATAGTATTTGTGTTTTGATTAGGCAGATTCCTCCTATGCTGTATAGATCCTATCTGGAAATCACAAACCACTTATTCTGGAATTTGGTTTTTATTTGGTGGCATTTACTGGATTGGACGATTTATAAAAAAGACAATCTATTTATTTACAAATATTGGCTTTAGTAGTCAGAGAGGATTTATGCATAACCACCTTTGTCAGCCATTGTGGTTATGTTGGTCTTTATAACCCTATTTACGCTACCCTTTTGTAACCGTGCCAAGATCGCTCCAAGCACGGTAACAGAGATAAGTGAGTGTAAATAGTACGCAGAACTAACCTGGACCACACCACACACAGCTGAACTCCGCTAAAATGGTTTAGTCCATCAGTACGGCTCAGCGCGTTTCGGTTCTGGCTCAGTTCTCATAACTTTTTACAGTCAGTCTCTTTAATCATGAAATTTCAGACATTCATAAAAACACTAGCTTCCCTACCGTGCCATAATATTTCCAGTGATGATTGTGCTTAGAAGTGTGATGAACTTCAACCCCTGTCATTGTTTCCTGCATCTGCAAACCCTGATTAGACTATCCTTTGTCGTATCTACTTCCCAAAAGCCGACTTTCATGTAACTTCACTAAATGGATCGGTTTTCAGAGGGTTGTATAAATTGGGCTAATGTCACAATCCACAGGTCCAAGCTAATCCCCTAAGTGTTGGGTGGAGTTATGATCCAGACTGCAGCCAGGCACTACCCCTTCCCCACTATAAGATAGAAGGTGGTCTTTATTAATGGAGCTAACAGACTGTAATTGGCTGCAGAACCACATCTTGAGTTCTCAGCATTTAGATTATCGCTGTTGTGCCAAGATCGTAATTCCTCATTAGGTTTGTTTCCAAATGTCCCCTGTGACTGTGGACAGTTTAAGAATGTATTAAAAACGGAGGAATTTGATTTTCCTCCAATAAACTTATATTTTGTTCTTAAGCAAAAATGGTTGTCATTTAATCATTCTTATGTTGTTTTCAGAGTTTTGTCTAGATTTATACAAAAAAAAAAAATGGTTTTAGTCACTGACCTAAAGGACTGAATCTTTTTATCTTTTTTGTCTTTCCCTTGTAGGTGGTGGCGTATGGTCTCGACATCTACCAGACCCGTGTTTATCCCTCAAAGCAATTCGATGTGCTAAAAGATGACTACGATTACATGCTCATCAGTAGCGTACTCTTTGCCCTGTTCTTCGCCACCATGATCAGCAAACGCCTGGCAGAAGTCAAACTGCTTAACCGGGCCTGGCGATAAACGGATCTTACTTAGTCCTGCACCTGAGAGCCCCACGGCTGCACAAAGGACCTCGCTCCGAAGAGATGAGACTGCTGAGGCCGTGCCACAGGCCAAAGTTCAATAAGGCCCTTAAGGAACTGCAGGGGGACGGTGGGGAGGGGGTAAAATGAAGGGTTAGGTGAGGTTTTATGTGTTTGTTTTTTAACTTATTTTTCAAAAGAAGAACTTGATCCGAGTTGAAACATTTTTTTTCTTCTCCAAAACACTTTTAATAAATGTACAAATAACTAATTAGGAATGAATTAACCAGAGTTGGAAATATGAAATGATACTTAAGTTAGGGACTTCTAGGGAGTTCTAAAAAATGCTCTAGATATCGTACATAATTCAAGAGACCTGATGGAAAGTCATAGCAAATTTAGAAATCAGAAGAGATGGATGAAAAGGCATGTGATCCTTAATGGTTCTTTAAATGGTTTCAATATAGTCTGAATTTAATGGTAAAGGAGATGAATTGAGAGCCTTGATGATCGACAGCCAGGCATAAAAATTTCTAACAGAAGACGCTGTTATCAAATTAAAGGAAACTGTCTATGGTAGACTTTGTTTTCCCTGTTTTCAGCCATTAAAAACCGTTGAGAACTCCAGTCTGAATGTCCTCTTTTCTTCCAAGAGTCTTAAATTGTTACCTAAAGTTTTATTGGGGCGTGAAACTCCTTAGATATCATTACACTTCATGTTTGCCAGTCAAACTCACCTCTCCTCAAAAACCCTTCAGCATCAGACCAAAAAGAAAGACCAAAAAGACAGCTTTCACAATGAATAAGTTATTTATTTAATTAAATAGACCATAAAACAATAATACAATCTGCAGCCTTTCCAGGGCTTAAATCCATGTTGAACCTTCATGGGAACGTCCATGAAGTCTGTAACAAAGGCTGTAAACATGAGTCTGAACCTCAGCAGTGTAAACGTAACGTGATTTCATCTCCATCCACAGATCTTTGTAAAACAAATCCAACATGGACAGTCGACACTACAACTAAACAAAAAAAAACAAAAAACACTTGATTTACATACATGAATAAATGATCAGAAACGTGACAGCTGATTAGAGCTAAACAGACCTCATTTGTCTAGAAATAAAAAGCCTAAGGAAATTAAATAAATACTTTAGTTTAAACATTAGGAGTCTTATTCATATGTATGAATGAACCTTTCAAGATAATTTGCGCTAGTTGTAAACTAATGCAACAAAATTGAAGTTGGATTGCTAAAATCTGTTAGAAATAAGAAAAAAATAAATCTATTTCCAAACATTCGGACCTAAACATATGAAAACACTTTAAACAATGAGTCAAATCAGCTGGTAACTCTTCAGTTAACAAGCCTGCAGCTCCATAGGGTGTTAATAACCATACCTGTCACTGTCACATTTGGTTGAACTTGTAATGTGTAAAATATTACACCTAAATATATTAGATTTCTTATTAAAAAAAAACAAAAAACGTGTGCAATCAGCATATAGGCACAAGCCCAGCTTGTACCAGAGTCATTTGCTTTCTCTTAAAGAAAAAAGCATAACTCCAGGCTGGTTTTAGTGGCATTAAAACAATTTAGGATTAAACACTATTCAGTGATTACATACAAAAGGAATACAAAAAAGAAAATTTGCACATCTCAAACAAAAAAAAAAAAATCACAGAGTTAATTTATTTCAGCTATTCAGTTCAAACAGGTTCATCAAACGTGATATATTTCAAATATTTAACATGTTATTTTGATTATTTTAGCTCACAGCTAATTAAAAATCACCCAATTTCTCTGAAAATGTGTACACTGACATTACTTTTTTATTTTAAAGCAGATAACGGATATTCAGCACATCCCAATTTATAAATGTGAGAAATTCACAATGTTTTGGCCTTAAAATTAAGTCACTGAAAAAATCTCCCACAACAGTTAGCACATGGACATACAGTACTCAGTAGGCTGACATAAAAAATAAAAAAAATCCTTTACCTATTGATCTTACGTAACCTTCCCAGTCTGAGAAGCGGATTTTCTGAGAATTCATTAACCATTAGCTGAAATCATTTGAATTAACAAAAAACAAAAATTTATCACCCTGTATAATAATGTTCTGTTTGAGCTTCGCTTTTTTAAAATGCATCTACTGAAATAACTGATGATGTTGCAATTTACTAAAAAAAAAAATACTCATTAGTGAAAATAGATCCATGAGGTATTTTTCCTCCACCACAAGAGAAAAACTCTTAATACTGAGTGCTGTACTTTATTGCCGTAAGGTGAACCGTAAATATGCCTCTTAAAATACTGACCGGTAAGATTCAGTCAAAAACATCACAGTCAAACCAAATACAACAAATTTGTGACAGAGAATAGCAAAAATACAGCAGTGTACCATGTTCACAATGATGATGATGATGATGAGGGTTAGGCATGGGCCAGTACAGGTATTAAGGTGTAATTTGGTTTTCTACACTGTCTTGGAATATCTGAGATAAAAAAATCTAAAAACATAATTAATCTGGTGGGTGTTTTTGTTGATTTAAGATTAAATGGCGTTTTTCAAATCTATAATTTGCCAAAATAACACCCTGATTATAACATTTTGCCCTGATGACAAGAACTCCGGTTTTCAGGCATTGACTGAATTCTCATTGAAAGAGTAAATAGCAGCCACCTTGCTACTGTTAGTGTGTAAACATTTGCAATTCCAGGTTGAACTGGACCCGGTTAAACTGCCAAGCAAAACACTAAAGCTGCTTTTTTTTTTTAAACTCATCTAAGGTTCCAAAGTCCAAAGATTGTTCTCTTAAAATGTTCCTGTATTTTGGGGAAACTTCCAGTGATTTCATAGTCCAGATTCCTCGAAAGCAGCAAAGTTGCTGCTAAATGGAGGAAATCCAATCCTTTTTTTTTAGCAGATAAAAATTTAAACACATGAGGTGCAGCTAAATTACCTGCCGATAAAGGTCTGAAAGTCTCAAAGTTTACTATGAAGAGCAGAATTAGCAAAATGGTTTAATATTCTGCAAGGGAAGTTTTTAAAAACAACTAGATTTTCACTATTCTGTTAAAAATCCCCTCCTTTTTTTTCAAAAAGAAAACTAAGAATTCCACTGTAAGCATCCCCTACCAGCCCATGCCTAACGTCAGTCGCTGTCTTGTATTCGTTGAAAGGATTCTATCTTTTCTGCCAGACGCATCCAGTCCTATCAGGCTCACTCAGAATCCTTGCCCGTCTCTCTGCGTGCGCGGGCCGACCCGGCGGCAGCAGAATGTAATGCGTGGCGCTGGCCTGTTTGCCGTCCTTCAGAATGGGAACGATACAAGGAGAAAACTGTGCAGCTGGTGGTGCCCTTTCGCTCTGCTGTCTCTGTAAAGTCTTACTCACATAATTTGGATTAGCAGCAAAACTCTGTGTGACGGGCATCACTCCATTGATGTAAATTGGGAGGCTTTTGGGGCTTGGGGTGCGTGGTGGGCAGGGTGGGACCAAGGGGACCCTTGGGGGGACTTTGGGAGGCTTTTCATCCTCAGAGTTGCTCACAGGTTTGCAGAGAGAGGAGGGTTTAGGTGGGATGGGGATACGAGGAGGGATTTGAGGTTTTATAGGAGGAATAGGGGGACCTGAACAGGAAAAACAGATTCTGGATGAGGCTTGATGCTCTGACTGTTTGTCACCAAAACCAGCTCTAAGAGCAGACACATCATGCTGGCTGTCTCTTTTCTCATGAGCAAAGTAATCAAAATTACAGTTGTTTGTAAGAGGTCTGCTTCCTCTACCAAGTAGTCTGTCCTCTCTGCTTGGCCAAGAGAAAGCAATGGAGTCAGAGCCTATAGCTCTTATCTCCAATGATCCCCCCTGGTAGGCGTAATTTATCTGACCGCAGTCTCTGTTGCTGCTTCTGGTTATTGCTTTCGGGCAGCTTTTGGGCAGGAGGCGCTGGCGGTCACTGGTAAAGAATTCAACCTCACTGTCTGCAGCTTCATCTGACATGAGGTCCTCAGGGTCAGGAAGCGGCGGGAGGGGTTTGGCCTCTTTCTGTCGGACCCTTCTCTGGGAGGAGGGGACCACCTGGTCTCCGTCGCACTTGAAAGCATCCGAGTGGTAAGCAGGAAAGCGGACAGAGATGCTGGCTGTGGAGGGAAAGACAATTATCAGACAAACTGAAAATCTCAAACTGCCCTTCCACTAAACTCAGTTGATACGAGTCCTCTGCTATCACTGTTTCTTCCTCCAGAAGAGAAAATAAAAACCGTCAGAGAGGAAGAAGCTTTGAAAAACAACCGGCAGTGAAAACAGATACAGGACAGGAAACGAGGAGTGAAAACAATGGCCTAACCCATCACCTTCTTAGTCAGACATCAGTCACAACACCCGGATTATCACAGGAAGTGTCACTATCTTCAGAACCACCGGGTTATAATCTTAACTGAGCTTCCCATAACCTTCTCTGTGGAAACATCCGACATGCCCCAGACTGCGGGAACAGCTGGTGACCGAGGAGCGATAGCTTCAACTCCTCCTCTCGTCTCTACTCTGATACATAAACTCCTTCTAAGGTTTTTTACTGGAAAGAAATATAATCTTATCAAAATTAAAAACTGGTGTATGTAGCTACTGCTTTTATTTTACATGTAGAAACAGTTACAAAGACTCGTGTTATTTTTACTGCAACAATATTGTAAATAATGAAAGAGAAAATTCATTAGAAACATATAGAAAGATATGTTGACTTGAATAAAAAAAAGCTAAATTCAGCCTCTAATGTGATTATATTTAATTAGTGAGGGACAAAGAAAATGTCTGCTTATGCAATAATTGTGTTCATTTAAATAAACTGTAACTGAGGCATTTACAATACCAATGACTACATTTCCTGATTCCTGGGGTATAAATATGATCTTACACAGAGATGCATTTATCTCTAAAAAGGAAACCATGAGCTTTATAAGGGATTTTTTTTTCTTCCCTCTCACAAAAAAAAAAAAAAATACTCAAATTAAATTTCCTGGGATTTGAACTGCTGCTGCTGTAGCAAAAGATTAGCTTGTGTTAAAGCCAGGTGTTCCAATAAAAGTAAAGGCCACTGAAGCCTGTTTTATTCTCTGTAGTTACTGTACAACAGGTTAGAAGTAACAGTCTGACTCACAGTTAAACTGCTTGGCCGTTTGTTGCTGCTGCAGCTCAGTCAGGCTGGGGTCCATGTCAGCACTCAGGCCGAAGCACTCTCTGCAAAGCAAAATAGGCTGAGAAATCCATACAGAAATGTGGGAACGTGTGAATGTTTCCTGCATGCAACCCGCTGTCAATCAGTTATTGTATGCCGACTAACAATAGTGCATTCTTTAACAGAAAACATGCCTGGCACTTTTTATACTAAGAATTAAAAGTTAAAGGAAAATTTTAAACGCTTTTAATTTGCCAGACATCCTAGTCGACACTATATTGCTCCTGCTGTTTATCTTTCTGCAGTGATGCTGTTATTGGGATTTTTGTTTTAGCTTTTTCCCCAAAACAAAACACAATCCTGTTCACTATGACTATGCAAACTTAATTTTTCTATCCAACAAGCTTTAAATTTTGTTCTTACCTGTGCATTTCTTGGTGACCCCAGTAGTTATTTTGATTTCCATCCATGTTGTGGCATAAAAAGTTGCTTCTAATACGCAGGATGTGAACGGTTCGGATGCAAAGCTCTGGCACCAGTCAGCTCCATTAAATCCATCAGAGGATCATTGTGAGCAGCAGCTGCAGCAACAAGCTGTAGGGGAGACATGGAAGCTAGTTAGAGCTGCCGAGGTAAAATTATACAGTGAGGACAGACATGAAATAAACACTGTTTCATGTCGGGCTTATGGGCATTATCTCTGCTTTGGTTTAAACAGGATTTACTGGTGTAAAAAAACTCATAATACAGCTGAGTGAAGAACAGTCAAATACTCCCAGCCACACAGCAGGCGATTAGAGCCATCTAAGGTCTATAGATGCTTTAAGAAAAAAGGAATGTGGAAAGAAAACCCTAAAAAAAGGAAGTACGGTAAATAAAATATTTTATACCATGACATCCATGCAGGAGGCTGGATTTTTTTTACATAAAATATGGTGCATGCCAGTAAAAACACGTTAAACCACATTGTTTTCTTGAGATGATGTGATCTTCTAAAAATTTGATTGATAAAGATTCTAAGCTGCTTTTTTATTTATTTTCTGCTCAGCCCTCATCCTAATAGCAAACTTGCAGTGTATCTATACTTGTTTAAGTAAAGGCACTACAAATAAGTATAAAGTCTGCAAAGTTGATTACGTTTAAAAAAAACATACTAAAACTAAGACCTGGCTAATATATATTACTACATACACTGCAAAAAATGTAAATATAAATAAGTCATTTTTTCTTTAAAGAAGTGCATTTTTCTTGCACTGACGAGGTAAGTGAGACACTTTGCCAGAGGAACAAGACAAATTTCAATTTAAATAAGAAAAAAATTGCATTGTCTTATTTCAAGCGCATATTATCTAATTATCTTATTTTAAGATTTAAAAAATTACTCATTCCATTGACCAATCATTGTATTTACCTTCTCAAATTAAAGGTAAATATACTTTAGTTTAAAAAATGTTGACTTATTTCTAGATGTTTTTTCTCAGTGTAGTTTAGCACGATAGCTCATAATAATTTGACTGTTTACATCTGTTGTAGGGATGTGCGAGACCAACACAAGGTAGTAAATAATTGTGAAGTGAAAGGAAGAGGAGACTATTAGCATTTACATTTACCGGTACTTCCTTTTAGTCCAACACAGAGCTAATGTGTGAGTGTGAAGCAATCTCATCCTGCAATCAAAATGTAATATCTGATAAAGTAGAGCTGGATCCATTACATGAAATTAAACAATTACGGCACAACTAGGGCTGTCCCGATCTGATATTGACATTGATAATTGGTCCGATACAAGACAAAAATATGAATATCAGAATATACTGAGAAAATAGATATTAGAAAACTTAATTTGCTTCTGTCCTTTTGTTTGAAGTTCATATAACTCTTTGGTGGATGAAAAAATATTCAGTTGCTTTCATAATTGATGTTAAATATAGTAATTTGTTTGTGAAATGTCTCTTGGTCGAGCATTTTCTATATTCCACACCATTCAAAAATACATAATGAAAGTATGTATGAGTTGTGCTAATGTCCTATCGGGTAAATATCGGTATCAGCCATTACTCAAAGCTGCAATATCAGTATTATATGGGAGATTAAAATTTGAATTGGGACACCCCTATCCGATGTTTGGGTTTGAGGATCTAAGACCAATTTTTACTCTTCCTGCCATAAAACAAGTAACTATAAGAGGCAAGTCATGGGTGAATGAAAGCAGAAATGTTTATGTAGTGGACACAGCAACTACAAAAAAAGACAGATTTATCTAAACAGAAACAAAGCGGATATGTTTGGCCTGCAAAGTACCATCCACCTTGAAACAGGGTTCTGGCAGCATCATGCTTTGGGGGTCAGGGAAGCTGTTTAGCGTTAATGTGAAGAGGAATAGAAATTATTTTACATGCAGAAAACCAAACAGAGCTTCAATGGAATAGACTGATGCATATCCATGCATTAAAAGGGAAAGATTAAAATTAAGCTCTTAATCTAACAAAAAATCTGTTTCAAAACGTGAACATTTTGCTCAATAACTCCTATTTAATTTAATTAAAATTTAAACAGTCAAAATTTGCAGCCTTTTGATTTCTCAAAACTGACTATATATATAACAGAACTGACAGCATTTTAACCTTTATCCTCCACTTAACATTTATATGCCACTAAAATCCCAGTACGATACACTGAGGCTGCTGTTTTTAGGGTGAGAAATTGGAAAAATGTAAATACACTGCATAGAACAAGATATCTGAGCATTTAATACAATTTAAAATCTCCAAACTATGTTCAAATCACATTTAAAATTCCACACATGATGTCACTACTAAATAAATCTCAGGTTTTAAATTAATTCCTTAATTTTTAGAACACCGCACATTACAATAAACATAGAGTGCTTGTGCACAATTTTATGAAAGCATAGAAACAGACGACAACAGCCTAGTGAATGACTTCAGTCTGCTCTCACAGCTGCTGAACAGTATGTTTCACTTTGTACTCCCAGGCTGTTGCACAACCTCTGGGTCAGATGTGGGAGGGAGGCAGCTCCTCTCGCTCTCTTTGCTCTCCCTCTTTGACCATGAAACCCTGCAGCATCCGCCTGCTCAACAGGGGCTAATTGTACCGCATTCCTCTGATGCCGAATCGCAAACACAACCAAAGTACAGGGATTAAAACACCAAATTCTTTTTGATCCAGGGAGGACAGTAGATCCCCAAGGTTGTTTAATCAGGTTGGGAACAAAGATAATTGAAAATGCTTTAAAAATGCTTTAAATCTGTTTTTATACAGCAGTATCAACCAAAAGTACCCGTTTTTTTCATATTGCATTGACTAGTCTAGATCTAATTCTCTTTTTTGCATTTATTAAACAGCAGCTAGTGTAAAGTGAAACGTGAAAATGTGAATGAATATATCCCACACCTGACTGTAAAGCATATAAACCTTATTTCATTGTTCTAAACCATACAGACCTGCTTTGTCTCATGTCAAATATCAGTTGTCTGAAAACTCAAGTGGGAAGCAAGCCATTTAAAGCATGCAAAGATAAACCCCCCCACACATCCAAACAAAACATTGGCTCATATGTGTGTTTGAATATGAAGATCATCTCAAACAGAGCCGTCTGTGGCGTCACTTCCATCCAAGAGCCTCTGAGATGGAAGACATTGAACAATTAAGGATTCTGTGGGCAATTACTCAGCATTCATGAATGGAGCCACTCTCAGCCATGAATGGGCCTTTGTGCAAACCGGGTGCAAAGTCGGCCAAGCCTGAAAATACAAGTGAACTCTCCCATGAGGTTAGGACGAGAGATACGCCATGGAGACAGGCCGACACGGCTGAAGCATGAGCCTGCACCAAACGGCCTTCGCAGGGGGAATGTATGCGCTGGCGCAATGAGAGGGAGAAGCCAGCAGTCGGAGGAAACTGTTTGTTTTAGGTCAAGCAGGAACATGATGTGCTGTCCTTGGCAGCACCGACCTCCCATTTGTCAGGCTATTCACTGGTCAGATGGATATTGATAAACTAATTGTTATAGATTGTCCACGCAAATGATGTTCTTTAAATAGTTAATGATGTACCAGCTTACCTACAGGCATAACGTTCTTTAAGTCTCAAAGAAAAACAAAAGTTCTCACACCAGAGATCACATTTATTTATGTTTTCCAAACCAATATATACGAGGGGCGTTCAATAAGTAATGCCCCTGACCCACTTCCAGATCTTTGATCAACCTGAAATTTTGCATGTGAAATTATTTAAATCTCTATAGATTAAATAAAAAATTACAGCTCTGGACTAATTGTGGTTTCTGATTTACTGGTGTTCAAACTGAGTCAAGTCTGAGTTTTTGCATTTGAAAGGGCGCACCCAACGGGAGACTTTTGACCAAATGAAAGTAACTTATAGTGATAATGTCCCATAATGTAACATTGTAAAACATTTTGCAAGTTCATATAACGGGCATCATCACCATAAATTACTTTAATTACACTAAAAGTCTCCCGTGGTGCGAGTCCTTTCAAATCGAAAAACCGGATCACTGCTTGACATTCAACAGGCTCCATTTCAGACTTTACTCAGTTCAAACATCTGTAAGTCAGAAACCGCAAATAGTTCAGAGCTGTAATTTGTTACTTAATCTATAGAGATTTAAATAACCTCACATGCAAAATTTCAAATTGATGAAACATCTGGAAGTGGGTCAGAGGCATTAAGTACGTAGAAGTAAGTAGGGGGCACTACTTACGTATATATATATATATATATATTTATTATTTTATATTTTTATTTTATTTTTACTTTAATTTATTTATTTATTTATTATTATTATTTTTTATGTGTATCCAGCCGTTATTGTTATCTATCATTATCTACTACTTATCACATAACCTTACTTTTTGTTTACAAAGAAAAAGAATTGAAGTCAGGCCAACTGTGTCCAAGAGTTTCATTAAGCATAAATTTAGACCCTTATTCCACAATGTAAACCATAAAATAGTTCATATTATGTCGCCTATGATGCAGTTCATAAAGTTATGCAGGATGCATAAAAATTGTCATCAAACGCAAATGAAAATTAATTTGCAGGGGAAAAAAAAGGTTTTTAGAACAATGGCACACAAATTTATAGTCATGATTCTAAAACGTCTGTATTGCTGCGTTTAGTAATTTTATTATAAACTATTCTAGATTAATTTGATCTAATTGCCTGTAATACTGTCGTTTCTGTCAGGTTTTTTTGAGTTCAGCCATGGCTATAATGTAGATTACAATAATGAGAGGAGTTGCTTTTTAGGTACTTTCCATTTACTGTAGTGAAGAGCACTAAACCAGGGAGTGCTGGTTTCCACTTTTGTTTTGTTTTTCTCAGAAATCTAAAAAGAAATGTGCTGTTGATTGACCAGGTTAACAGCTATTAGCAATCCTAGCTAATAAAAGTGTCGTTTTTTAGCTAAGATTGCTAAAAAGCAAACCTTGCCAGCTAATTCCATTAAATTCAATCTTGTACTTTGACAGTATAGCACTATGGCCACGGAGGGAAGCTGGTAAAGTTGGTGTGAAAGATTCAGTGTGAAAATATTCAAATCATAAATAAAGAGCTTTCCCTGCAAGCAGGAAGGGCAGCCATGTTGGATTCTGCACTACTGGTCAGAGAATTTCTACATGAAATATTAACTCACAGGAATCTCTTTATCAACATTTCTAACTGTAGACATTAAAATCAAACTTTTCAACCAAAACAGAAAGAATGATGTAATCAAATTGAATCCATAATAATTTAGTCTTGATCTTGTTTAAAATGTCAATGCTATTAAACATGTCTAAATAAACTCTATTGTTTCTTCTATAAAACAAGGCATGTTTCAGTCATTTGTTCAGATATCAATTTAAATTAGCAACATGTTGTGCTGTTCTTGAATATGCTGATTTCTATATGAATCTGTCTGAGCAACATATCATAAACTGAATTCACTGTGCAGCATGGTACCAATGGTTGATATCGCCTTTTTTTTCCATGATCACCCTCTTTTTCTTTGCAGAATCACAACCCCCCCCCCATTATTGTCTGTAAATTAATAACAGTGCTACTTCTTCCCCCTCACCTAACCTCTTAAACACCCGGTATGGACTGTGCTCCCAGGCTTTTTATCACATGTTTGTTCCCACAGTTGGAAAAGAACGGAGTAACAGAGTGTTTAAATATGTTGCCCCCTCAGTCTGAATGCATTTACCCCCAATAGTCCGAACTAACACCCTGGGAAGGCTATAAAGAAGCCAAGTTAATTAATTGAAATAGCTTTAGTGTGTGCTATGTTGGCTATTCTTAATTTTAGGTGTTTAAAACTATATTAATGTATGTCACTGCATTAATCTTAATGTTTGTAAATAGGGTTGTTCTAATTCTTGGTAAAGAGATTGAAATTCTCAATTGTCATCTAGGTATATTTTATATATATATATATATATTTTTGTACATAAAAAAAAAACAGAAATAAAACACTATAACCATAGAATCAGTGTTCAGTGGCTGCTTATTAATATTTTAAATCATGGATTACTTAACATCTATTACTTCTTTTCTTCCTCTTATTTTTCTTTTTTCTTATATTTCCGTTGACTTTATATGATAGCAATTATGGACACCTCTGTTGCACAAAGTGGAAGAAAATCAATCATGCATTGTTTTAAATATTTTCCACAAATACAAAGCAGAAGAGTCAGGAGGTCACATTTATTCAGACCTTCTGGGTTGATGCTCTGCATAACCGCCTTCCTGCGTAATTACTAAAAGCTGATCTTTTGTCCCAGCTTCTAAAAGCTCTCTTTTCATGATTTTGATGTATTAAACTCAACAGATCTTTTCATTAACTCTAATCAGCCTCCTATTGTGGCTGACCACCATATCTTACTGTGGGAAGTGGGTCTTGAATGAATTTGGTGCTGGTTTTCCACCACACAGAATCCTAGGTGTTAGCTAGAAATTTAATCTCACCAGAGCTTTTTCCTACATGTTTGCTTATTTCTTGAAAACCTTTAAGCAAAACTTAAAAAAAGAAAAGAAAAGAAAAAGATTTATTTCCAAGATATTTTTATTCCACCATTCCATTAAAAAAAAAACAAAAAAACAGATTTATAGATTTATGAAGGGAACAACTTTTTTTTTTTTTTTTTTACCTGGCATATGGATTTTCCAAACTGTTCAATCTCTGCAGCTCCTCCAGAGCTACCCCATGTCTTAGTACGTTATTGCGTTTCCATTTTAAGATGAGGGATTTAACAGATTTATGTAAAAGCTTTAAGGCTGGGTGCAATGCCTTATAACATTTCAAATCTTTTCACAAGTTTTACCCTAAACCATCTGTGTTGTTCCTTTGAGTTTGTGATGCTGCCCATTGAGGCTTTTGCATAACAATATTAGCACTGATGTTAAAATATACAATGATAGACACAAAAATAAAGTAAATTTTCATGCCAAACAATTACAATAGTTATTTTATTGAATGGTCTCACATAAAAAAAAATTATAGATAGATAGATAGATAGATTTATGTAATAAGCAAAATAAAACACAAAATATTAATTCTCATCGGCCTTAAAATTAAGTTACTATGGGTCTGTCTTTCATTAGTTGCATAGTTTGTAATTGCAACGCTAAAAACATTAATAAAATGTTTATCTGAATACTTTTCTAAGCACTTTAGAACGTTTTGGCGCCCTCTGTTGGTTGCAAGGGGAACGTGTTGCCTTTCATTGCTGTCAGTAGCGGAACAGCTGAGAACCTCTCTGGACAAATAACCCATTCTTTGTGTACAGTTAGCACTTTCGACCCAGTTACCGAGCATCATTTGAACAACTGTTTTAAATGAAAAGTTTCAAATGATTGAAATCTGTTTTCGATTCCTTGTCTTTAATTAAATTCCCTTCAGGAAACAAGCTACTTAAAACAGCGTAAACTAGTTCAAATATGCTTCTTAGACACAAGTTCATATACACCTATTTCATTTATTGGTCGCCCCCTTTTTGTCCTTAACTTTGAAAATTTGTTCATCTGAGATAAGGTACTGATTTAAAACGTTAAACTCTTACCACAATTAAATCCCGACTATGTCTCCATCACGTAAACGCGTCTTGGTCGATCTTTGCTTCTCATGAATGTTAAAAATCAAATAGTTGTTGTGAGTCCCATCAGATCCAAGCCATGTGCAACATCCTTCCTCTGTCAACAACGCTGGGAGGTGAAACTGATTTGGTCAGAGTGACGCAGTTTTCCATAACTGCTTATAAATGGATCCAACACCCAGGGAGCGTTACTGTAACTCCACCCATTGCTGTCTTAAAGAGGCAAAATCTTTCCGAATATGGAATAACCCACCATTCATAAAAACAACCTCCAAAAAGACTCTAAATCAAAAATAACCCATAGAAAGATTTTTTTGTGCTCTTATATATTTTGAATGCGTTTTAATTTATTTGTGTTTAAATAAGCTTATTGCTTATAAACTATGTTTACATGGAGCACTTTGGTTTAAATTGAAGTGAGATAATTACACTTTTTTTGCATTTTTAAATGCACTTTTTTATCTAAACCATGTTTAAAAAGGTAACTTCCACTGTATATGCATTTTTTCACCATTTTTATTAAAAAATGAATAATAATTAAATAATTTAACCTTATCACATTGTAGAAATTTACCTCTGCGTTTAAGCAACAGTGGGCTGCCATCGTGGGAAGCCCAGGGAGCAATCGGTCTTGCGAAAAGACCCAGACTGGCAGTCAGTTGGAGTAGGTTTCAAACTCACAACCTTAGGATTCCAAGCTCTATGGCCTTACCGCTAAGCAACTCCCCCGAAACATATTATTGTTTAAGTCTTGGACATATTATTATGTCCAAGACATAAACTATGACAGTATAGAGCCGTATATATCAAGATAAGGTCTCTAAACTATACCGTTTAGTCAAATACCTTGTGATGGGAACGACAATTTGTCAAAAAGCTGAAAATTAATCTTTGGTAAATATTACAGCAGAGAGAAAACAATGGAGAAAAACCTTGGATTTAATTTGTGCTGTTTACTGAGAGTCCAGTTGAGGCATTTCATAAATCAGTGAACAGTTTTGACATGACCTGCGTGGGTGTCAGGGAGCATGTGGGTGGACTCAGTGCAGAACATCTCTTAAAGATGAAAAAGTCGATAGCCAGTTCACTCATTGTACACTATGGCTTGTTTTTGAATCCTTTTCTGTGTACTTGAATGACTGTTTTTTTCTTACCCTATACAGAGGTAAACTGAACAGACAGCACACGCAAACATTTCTTTTAAAGAAGCAACAGGGAGGTAATGTGTTTGTTTTTTACCAGTCTGGACCAGGCAGGGCTTCATACAGTACAAATAAATCCTCAGGGCCATAGACCCTTCCAACGTACAGTAGAACACGTAGGAGAAACAAACTAAACCCTCCAATCATCACTGTTCCATTGAGTTAACACACTAATACACCCATTTAAGGCTACATTCAAATGAAAGACCTAAACCTGTGTGCACAATGTCAATCATAAACCTAAACAATGATTACACCACATGCTGTGTGCAAAGCTGGATCTGCAATCCCCCACCGCCTGATGACATTTGTTTGCTCTAAGGCAGACTCAGCAAGTACACTTTCAGCAAGTTCTCAGTTTGATTGGCTTTATGTTGAGCAATGAAGTGCTGTGACCTTAGTAGTGAAAAAGCTGCCTGTTGTTCACAAAAGTGCCATACAGTTTACAGTGCCATGTAAAAGAATTGATTCCCAAAAACTTCTTTGCATTTTGTTACATTACAAATACAAAATTCAATTTGTGTCATTTGAATTTTGGCAGGATATACTAACACAAAGGAGACCATCATTGTGAACTAGAAGGTAAAGGATATATAGTTTCTGAAAACCGTTTTCCCATTTTCCCACTAATTTCTTAAGGTATGTTTGAACTGATTCCATTTAGAAAAAAGCTCAAATTCAGGCTAAAACTATCCATCCATATTAACTTTAAACTCTTTGATTGAGTAGTGACTGGGCTATCCTCAGTGTGAATAAGTTTTATCTAAACCAGGGTTTTTTTAAACCCTGAGCTCCCTTTCTTTCATGTTTTAGACGTGTTCGTCAAGCACACCTGATTCAAATGATTGCATTTTTTTGCAGCCATCAATGCTGCAAAAGCCTTTTGTTCCCCTTTTCATTCAGGTCCAGTGTGTTGAGGCAGGGAGACCCTTAGAACATGTAGGACAGTGGGTCCTAGGGATCAGTGTTTCTTAACCCATCAGCTGTAGTTCTGTTTGTATGTTTAAGGTTGTTGTCCTCCTGGAAGGTAAATCACTGCACCACTCAGAAGCGCTTTCCAATTTTTTATTACCGTAACTGTGACCGACTTCTGTTAGATAATTTCCCTGTCAGATATCCTCTGCATATTTTTTCATTTGAAGCGATCCATTTAAGGCTGGTTTCCACTGACCAGAGCAGTTTCCCAGGGGATACAGGCCTGAGGCTGACTGAGGGAACCTCTTTTGTTTTTTTTTTCTTAATGTTTTTCTTCTTGTCATATCTTATCTTAAATACAAGTCGCATGTTTTACTATTACTGTTCTCAGACTTGAACTGTGGATCAGTCCATTTAGCTGGACTGCTGTGTCTTGGAGGGTTTGCATTTCTTCAATACTCTTAATTTTCTAAGGTTTGAACAGCGCTCCATGAACTTTGAAAAGCCCATCATATTATCTGTCTTTAAGCTCTTCCAATATGTTCTTCTTGACCTGTATGCTGTGTTCCTTGGACTTCTTGTTGCTGTCAGTCTTACTAATAATTGATTGATCAATTGATTGATTGATTGATTGTTTGACTTTATTGATGTCACAGTGGGGAAATTTACTCGTTACATCAGCTCAGATAGTCAAAAGGAAGAAGAATATATATATATGGGTGTATATCTATAGAGCTATTGCACTGGGTATCAAATATGAAGAAACAGGTTAATGCACAGGGTGTTAAATAATAATTGCACATTATACATTGCACAAGGTATTGCCATTGTAGCATTGTATAGTGTAGTGTACTAAAAATGTCACAAATATTTAGATTATAGAGTTTTAATATAACACTGTTAGGTTTTCGGTTGTAATATGTCCCAAAAAATATTAAAAGAAAAGCAAGATTCTTTTTTAATTTTTCGTCCTTTAAAGGTTTGTACAGTTGTTTCTTGAATTTAATGGTTCAGAGATGATTTCAAATGTTTCCCCCTTTGACGGGCAGCTCTGAGGCTCCTCCATGTATGCATGTGGTGACCCCTGGATTCTCAAAGCTGTGGGAGTTGTTGTTGGGGTGGGCCAGTATCCCAGAGCAGAGGTCAAATCATTTCCTGCTCTCAAAGATCTCAGTCTCTCACAGCTGTCAGTGCTGTATGAAGCCCACCTTCCACATCTGTAGCGCCCCACACCTCCTTTCTCTTCTTTGAAAGGCCAGTTTGACTGGAGTTATTGATAAAAGTTTTCAAAGATGACATAAATCATAAACTAGGATATCCTGACAAGAAGGAGTGGAATAAAGAAGCTTTTCATCCCCCCAGAAAATAGACGTCTGTCCAACAATGTCTTAAGCTGGAACAGGAGATGAAGGAAGGAGGTGTTAACATGTGTTTTCTATGGTAAATATGTCTGTGTGGGTGGATCAGCCGACATGGTGACACAGGGAATTCTCTTATGGGGGAACCAGCTGTGCACAAACATGTAATAGTGATTAGAAACAGCACCACTGGCTGCAGGCAGACATGCTTGCTGCTGCTTTTCAAAGTCCCGGTCAACCTGTCCTGTTTGAGTTTCACATTCCTTTGGATCCTAATGCTCTTACTCCAGTAAATCTGTTAGTGGTTGTTGCAGCTAAAGTGTGACACAGCACAGCTTTGTTTATGAGACCCTGATTTGTAAAATATGTGAAAAAGAGCTTCATCAACAACAGCTGTGGGTTTGATCCATTAAATTCCTATCCGTTGAGTAGTACATAAACTCTTACGGACATATTAAACTGTGATGGACGCAAGAAGAAGAAGAAATTCTTCAGAAACTCTTGGATCTAATTAGCTGCAGTTCTTTGTCACCGCCCACCGCTTCCTCCAGTATGACACGCTCTATTCCCATTTCTTTTTTTCTGGTGATACGCCTTGGAGGATATGCTCTGAATGATTTGAAACACACTCCCGCCCTTTTGCTCTGTTCTCTTTTAGTCTAATTGTTATAAGGTTGGAGTTTGACAAGCTGGAGGAGGCAGGAAGAAAATCCGGCTCCTCAGATGTCTGAGTGGGTTTCAGACCAACGCCTTTGACCTCTTCCAGTGAGCAGACAGCTCAGTTATTGAAGAGCTGCCAGCTGTTGGGAGGTGGATGGGGGAATGAGCTGATGAGTGATTTTGGATTCATTTTGATTGCTGGACAGTTTGATAAGCTTGAGAACCAAGTATGATTAAATTGCATTGCAAAAGGTGAAATTTAGAAGGAAGACACAGACAGATGCTAAAATTATAATATAAATGTAGGGAGTAGAAATTAGGAAGGAAAAAGCACATGAACTGCTCCACTTGGTTCCATCAGAGGTACACTGATGGAGGATGGATCAGTATTTTTTTTTGTTTTGGTCTTATATACTATATACCTTTTCCATGTTCTCTTACATCACCACCAGCTGTAGGGAAGGAGGTGTTCTGGTACGTTGAACGTTTGGGCCTACATGCAAAACTTTAAGGATGGAAAACAAACCCTCCACATTACCGTGAAAACACTGTTCCCTTTGCGAAAAATCTTCTTGAAAAAGAAGAGGGACATAAATGGAGCGTTGAAAAATGGGAGAAATCTAACTGGAAACTGGGGGTGAACTAATACCATTACCTGATACATCCAGGACTAGAAGAAGTATCGCTTAAAGCATTTTCTTGTGTTAACGAGGCCTGGTCAAAGTTCACATCATTTATTTTAAATAATAGTCTGTGCCAAGGATTGAATATGTGATGTTCATAGCCTCTCTGCAACCAATATAACTGATCAAATTTGGAAAAACATGGAATTCCTGCAAACCTGCTAGTGACACGCCTCTAAAAGATTTGCAGTTGAAAATTATGTTTAATGGATGTTTTTACGAAGTTGTCTGCAATGTTCCTGTATGTAAATTAAATAAACTTCACTTGCAAAATTTCATTCTGTAAATATTCTCCTAAACCCTACATGCTTCACTGTCT